TTGTGCTTGGCTTGAATGACGCTTAGTTTTACAATTAAGAAATGGTAACAGAGCGGGTTTACGATTTGGAATAGGATTCAGGTTTTTGTTTGGTGTTCTTTCACTTACACGTACAATGAAAAAACTTGTTTTACTTTCTGAAAGTTTGTGAAACGAAGAAATTTTTAGTTTTTTTTTTTAGTTTCAAAATTTTGTCGATAGTTTTTTGTAGTCTCAGAGTTTTTTCCAAAACTCAGTAGATAGTTTTCAAGGGGTGGGGGTAGACAATGATAAAACGTTTTCGTCATGTCTATATAAGTTGTGTATTGTGACTGAAGCCTTTGCTGTCAGGTTGTTTAATGTATAGTTTAGTTTAGTTTTCCACTGATGGTGTGTATTGTGAAAATGATATTAACTTTTACTAAATATTGCTATGCAAAGTTTCTATGCAAAGTTCTGATAGTTTTCAATGACAGTGTAAAAAAGTGTGTGATTCTTGGAGTTGACAATATCAAAAAGTGTGTGAGCAAGGTCGGAAAGGGAGTACGAGCAGCCGAGACTCCCAAGCAGAAGCGAAGGGGTGGATTTTTTTTGAGAGTCGAAAAGAAGGTGTTTCCCCTTCTTCGCGAATTTTGGGCAGCGGGCAGCGTAGGCCGCACAAAAATAGTGCATTGAGCAGGCAGCAGCGACGAAGAGCAGTGGAGGCCCGCAGAGTTCAGGCGACGGTGGCGGAGGTCAGCAGGCAGGGCCCCCGAGCGGCGGAGACTCACTCCACCCCGAGGCAAGAATTCAAGCGGCAGGGCACTGTTACTCCTAAGGCAAGACCGCTCCACCCCGAGGCGAGAACCCCCCAGCGGCGAGACACTCTTCCTCCGAGGTAGGATCCACAAGGTAGGGGATCCACCCCCGAGGCGGGGATTCGAGCGGCGGGCATCCGAGTCGCATAGCAAGCAGCGGGCTGAGAGATCGCGGAAGAGGCGGACCCCGCCCCTCTACAGCGGAGGTGGAACGTTTCCCATCTGTAACACTCCCAACCCCTCCTCCCACCGAATAGGGAAATTGTTTTTTCGGCATAGTTAGGGTTTTCCGGCAAAGTTAAAGTTGTTCGGTGACAAACGACGTGATCGTGGCCGACTTCGTTGCAGGGCTCGTGGTAGCAGGCCACGTGGTTATAGTCATGTGGTCGCACTCAGACGTGGTTGATGTACCGTAGTCACGGTTGACATGATGACCTCAGGGAAGACATGGTCAGTAAAAAAAGTGGTCGGTGTTGACAGCTTTGACAAAACGGTCGTGACGGTAACGGTGCAGGTCGCGGATGAGGGTGGTCACGGACGACGACAGTCACGAGTGACGAACATTGTAGTTGCGGGCGACATTGGTCACTGGTGACAGTTATTATTATTTTATTTTTTCAATTGCGGGTGACGGTGGTCACGGGCGACAAGAGTCTCTAATGACAGATATTTAAATTGCGAGCGACGGTGATCACAGGCGACGAGAGTCGCGGGTGACAAATATTTAAGTTGCGGGCGACGGCGATCACGGACAAAGGAAGTTGCGGATGATGGACGTTGAATCACGGGCCACGGTGGTCGCGGGTGGAATTTGCGCACAAGTGAGCAGTTCAAGCCAGACCGAAGATTCTTGTTGCCAAAGACTTTATCTAGTTGGTGGAATATTCTGTTTGTGCATATTTTGTTTCAAACACTCTCTGTCGGAATATAGGCAAATTGAGTATAGTTGGAAAGATCTTGACGCGACTAGTGCATCTTGAGCATTTCAAAAGCTGAAAAAAGCATCCGAAAGACTAATTGACGCGGAAGTAGACGATGTCTCTAGTTTTTGTCGAACTGAGATGACATCAAAACCGGTTGGAAAAACAAGGTACAACATTCTTCCTCTTGATGGCCGAGGTGATAACCTGCTTTGGGAAAAACAGGTGAAAGTCAAGCTAAGATCTATGGATCTCGCTAATGTGCTTTGTCTCTAAGCCTTAGAGACAAACCAATGCACATTACTTACATTGATTGGAGGAATTCACAAGAGCAAGCAGTTTACATTGTGATGGGTAATCTAGATCCTTCAGTTATGAAGCAAGTTGAGGAGTATTCTCAAGTTACACAGATTTTTGATGCACTACAGAGACGCTTTCATCAGAAAGAAATATCACATGTCATGAACACCTACATGAGGCTGTTGAACTTCACGATGAAACTAGGATCGAGAATTTAGGATCACATTCACGCCTAAGGCAATTTGTTGATAGATCTTCAAACTATGGGAGAAGAGCTTTCTGACATTAAGAAAGCTATGCATCTACTTCACTCATTGCTTCTCTCCTACAAGACACTATCAAAGATTCTCCTTCATTGTGATAACAAGGTTGTAACTTACAACGAGGTTGTAAGTGCTCTTTTGGTGGACGAGGTAAATCATGAGATGCTATCATTCTCTCGTCCACTCATTTCAAGTACTGCACTTACTTTGACCCGGGGTCAGTCGCAACCATCGGGTCTGAACAATTTGCAGCGTACAGGATTGAAGCGGCAGAGATCCAGTTCCTCTAAGCAAAAGAGAGTTCAATTTTGGATTCTATTCCCTAACAAAAGGAACTTGAAGAACTTGGTATGTTGGAGATGTGGCAAGAATGATCACATCAAGAAGGAATGTCAGATGATAATAAGAAATGCAAATCTCCTTCAAGTGACGAATGTTGCGGAGCATCTTCATTCCGAAGACAAAGACATGTTTGCCGACGGTCTATGATGCCAGAGATATACCCTCTGTAGTTCATCAACAATTGTTGGTGATGTATGGATTTTGGATAGTGCTTCTTCCTATCACATTTGTTACATTAGAGAATTCTTATGTACTTTCTCATGATCAAACGGCTTCGTTCTTATGAAGAATGATCAACCTTGTAAGATTGAGGATGTGGGATCTGTAAAAATCCACATGTTTGATGATGTCAACCGAAGATTGACACAAGTTAGGTTTATACCTAACATGAGAAAGAACTAAGTATCTCTTGGAGTGCTAGATTCACACGACTTAGAGTATAGCTCTAGGGAGGACGTGTTAGATGTCCAATCTAGTGATAAATATATTATACTTGGGGGATACAAACACAATAATCTGAATTTATTAGAGGGCACCACAATTTGTGGAGAAGTTAACTTTACATGATCTCGCCTAGAAATGTCTCATTTATGGCATTCTAGACTAGGCCATATGAGTGATAGATACTTGTTTCTTCTTGATGAGAAACAAGTGTTATCGAGTTTGGGTAAAGTTAACTTCACATTTTGTGAACATTGCATCATGGAAGAACAACATAGGCAAGCTTTTAGTGTTGGAACTCATAATTCCACGGAGATACTAGAGTATGTACATAGTGACGTGTGGAGCCCATCTCATACTGTCTCAATCTTAGGAAAGCTTTACCATGTATCTTTTATAGATGATTATCGCAGGTATGTGTGGATTTATTTTCTTATCCACAAGTATGAGGTGTTTCTCACCTTCAAAACTTGGCGTGTATAGTTGAAACTAAGACTTGCAAGAGGGTAAAATATTTACGATCAGATAATGGCAGCGAATATACTTTTGACTAGTTTCAATGATATTGTATAGAGGAGAGGATTACTCGTCATTTCACAACAATTTACACTCCCCAACAAAATGTTGTATTTGAGAGACTCAACAGAGCAGTGTTGGAGAAGGTACGAAATATGCTAAGCGAATCTGGTTTACCAAGAGAATTTTGGGCCGAAGCCGTTATATTAGAGTAATCAAGATAACTGACATTACATCATATGTTTATTATGTTTGTGAACCGTTTGAATTTCAAATTTAAAAGATGATATATGCTGTCAATATGTAATTCAATGTGATACTCTAGTATCAAATTCGCTACTTTATTACTAAGTGTCATTTTTGTTCAGCTTGATGTAAACCTAGCGTAATTGTTTGTATACTTTTAATACTCCTCTATATTTAAAAAAAATGTCTACTCTGAAAAATTTAATACGGAGATATAGCTACCAATAATTTACTAAGGATTATGCACATGTCATAATGTGCGAAGATATGTGATTTTCAATCAACATCAATATGCGCTTGAGTACAGTATAAATGCAATGTATCCATATCTTGTTTGAATTGATAATAATACAAGTGCAATCATCGTCATTTTCCATACTAAAAATAGTAAAGTTGTAAAACATGTGATTATCCATCTTCATAGATATATCGAGTGCTCCGAAAACCATCGAGGTTTGCTAGTATGTAGTTGTCAAGAGAAGCTTAACTTGTTTTTCTAAATATTCTAGGTTTAGATCTCTGCGATGTTATGTGCCTGGATTTTCTTCATGTTTGTGAGAAACTTATCAAAATCTAACATAGTAGATAATTATTAAATGAATATAATTTATTATAGATCAATTTGCAATAAATGGTATTTACTGCTGTAAAAAGAGAGATACTTAATAATATGCTTAGATCGACAAATTGGATATGATCTAATTCTCATATTGATGCAGCATTTGGTTACATGATCGTTTCGTGGTATCAAATCCATCTCTTTGTGTATCTATGTGCTTTGATTAGAATTTGAGGTTTTGATACAAGTTGGTATAATAAGATTCGCTTCTATACTCTGTGCTCGGATAGGGCTCATTATGTCGTAGTACTGAGCATAGGTAAGCTCAGTTTAATGATTAACATATATTTGGGGGTTGTTGATTTAATTAAATTTAAAGACTACAATGACTGCAATGAGAGGGTGGTGACTCTGGTGGAGTGATCCTGCTTGATCCGGGTTGGTCTTGATTCAAGTGTGTCAGGTGCTCTGATATTTAGTTAGTATGATGAAAGCTTATATGCTGAAAGTATATAAGCTAGTGTTATAAAGTGAATGTATATAAACTAATGTAGTGAGTTACTGAATATACGATCATCACAGCCAAGAGAAAAGGCAGAAATATAATTACTGCCTTAGGAGTATGACATCAATCTGCCTCTTGAGATTGAGTATAATGTCCATAACATCAACTCCCTAAATGAAGCTCAAGTTCAGATGTTTTAAGATCATACTGAAAATAGCAAATTGGAAATACTTCCGTAACTTTGGTTGAACACTTATCCCCAACTCACCTAGGACATTTGAAGCCACTCACGTATCCACATCTTCACTCATCTCTTGGACGTTAGTATCTCCTCACACGCGCAAAGAAATATTGCGACGACCTTTCCGGAGTTATCAACTCTTTATGCCGCTGGACTGTAAGAATGCCAGCTAATTGCTTCGCCATACTGCTTGCTTATATGATGCAGGTATTCAGTTTCAAACAAGGCTTGGCTTCATGTTAGAGAAGCTTCATCTCCAACAAAATTTATTACAGCGGAAAAACGGACGGGCCTACTTTTGCAAAGTTATCCCCATATTGCTTAAAGGGAAACTTGATAAACGAGATTTACAACCTACGGGATAAGCCACGAGGCCAAGTTGCACTGCCCAGCTGGAAACATTGTCTCCTGTTTCAAAAGGTGAGAACTCTTGCGTAACATTCTGAAATCGTACCTTCTCCATTAAGAGAGAGCTTGGTTCAAACGAAGCTCTTTCTACTTGGCGCGGTGTTTCCAGTCAAGATGTTCACGACGTCACCTGATCTACACTAAGTATCTCATCCTTGGCACTTGACTTGAATGTCACTACTATGTCATAATGATCATTTTTTACGAACTATTAAAGTGAGTACAGCCTGCAGTGCAACTTGGCCCCCGCTCAACGACCAGGCAGGCAACTCCCCCTAGGCTATGGAAACTAATCAGTTGTACAAGTCATCCTCATCCCCACCTGCAAAAACAGCAGTATCAGCTGCAGAAGCTCCGGCTCCGGGGTTTTGTGCTGGTCTATCGGGAAACCGGAACTCCGAACCAAAACCTCGAGCTTGTTGTAGAGTTTGAGCAAACGCTTGATACTTCCTGATATCGGCATCACTCACACTCCTTCGAGCAAATTTCATCGCCTCCTCAAAATGCGCTGCTGTGATTTCCGCTACCTCGTCTACTACGTCTTCCTCCATAAGGTCTGGATTTTCTGCACGTCTCTTTTCCCTTTCGATATCCTACAACCACACAACAATTACAACATGTATTTTAACCCAGGTTGGAAATTGACCCGACACTGGCTTCAGCGTTAACAATCCCATCTGAGATATTGAACGACAAATGTCATTACGACAGTACGACAGCAAAGCTGCAAGGTCCACGAAATTAGCACATGGAATTGCATAAATGAGGGGAAAGGAGCTGGCAAAGACCAGACCAGAGTGGCTTGCATACACCAGACTAAATATAAAGAGAAAATAGGGAGGGCACGAGGTAAGGAAAGAACAATACAGACCACAAGCACGACAGCTTATAGAGAATTATAGTACTGTGAAATTTACTGCAGTAGTTCATATCAGATTTCGGCAAAAGAAGTCAAATAGCAAAGTTGAAGTTTCTACCAAGCTTAGTATGTATAGAGAAAACAATGCTAGCTCTATTCAGCATGTTCTTATATTAAAATGTGGCAGGTCCATTTGGGGTCGGAATACACAGCTAGAGTGTCGCGATTATATATAACCGCTTCGTCAACTCTGTACGGAAGCTTCATGGAAGACATCTGAGAGCCTCTGGAAGGCAAGTTATATTCAGAGCATAGACTTAAAATCTGACGTCATGAAATAATCCAACCTTCGCAATAGACATACCTTAAACCGAGAGAATGTCTTACCTTCTCAATATTCTCACGAATTGCATATTTGCAGGCACGCTGGCAGATCTCAGTAATGTCTGCTCCACTGAATCCCTGCGTGTGCTTTCCAAGTGCTTCAAGATCAACTTCCTTCGCAACAGGTGATTTTCGAAGAGCAGCCTGGAAGATTCTGAGCCTCGAACCATCATCGGGTAAAGGAATGTAAATCAACTGGTCCAGTCGACCAGGACGCAGAAGCGCTGAATCAATTATATCAGGTCTGTTGGTTGCACCTATAATAAAAACAGTCTTCTTGGCATTCATGCCATCCATTTCTGTCAAAAGCTGATTCAATACCCTGTCTGCAGCACCACCCGCATCTCCCTGGCTACTACCGCGCTGCACGAAGAGAAAGAAAGACAGGAATGGTGAGCAGCCTGTGGCACTCCTCTTAAATCTACAGACCTGTCCGTCCTATTTTTCATGACCTTTCCAGACTACAGAATCGGGAGGAAATTACTGACACTGTAGATTTTGTAAACCAGGAATGGAGTTGGAAAGAGTGTTCAGACTTCTGAGGTACGGCGTCAAACCTGAGTTGCAATAGAATCCAGCTCGTCAAAAAAGAGGACGCAGGGTGCAGATTGCCGAGCCTTGTCAAAAACATCACGCACGTTGGCCTCACTTTCACCGAACCACATGGTTAGAAGCTCGGGCCCTTTCACACTGATAAAGTTAGCTTGACATTCGTTTGCAATGGCTTTCGCCAGCAAAGTTTTTCCACATCCTGGAGGTCCGTAGAAGAGGACACCTTTCGAAGGAGACATACCAAACTTCTCAAACTTCTCCGGATGCTCTACAGGATATTGCACAGTCTGGAAACGTGACTTATATCAGAAATTCCATTACACCATGTAACAAGGTCTCATTAGCTTAGAACGAGCCTACTCAACTTCAATGAATGCAACCTAAGCTTCAGTAAGAAGCTAGTGGCACAGTAGAGCCAAAATGGACGAGGTGCAATTCTAGACCATGACTAGATTTTATTTTGATATGTCGCTTTGTTCACGATACAGTCGGAAGAAGAGTTCAAATAGACCGCAGGGTTACCATACCTCTTGTAACTCTCTTTTCACGCTCTCCAAGCCACCTATATCATCCCAAGAAACATTTGGAACCTCGACCACCTACAGACGAGGGTAGAAACGTGAGTAAGGCGTTGATTATTGCTCTGGATTTTAAACATCGAAACGGAACATACATGGTTACATGGGAAGATGCAACGGAGCCGAAGACACTCACAGTTTCGCGAAGAGCAGAGGGATTGCTGGTTCCCAGGGCCGACTGGAAATGCTCGTTGGTGACGGCCATGGAATTGAGGACTTCTGCATCGATGGTGTCATCCTCGAGATCAATAACATCCATCTTCTCCCGAATACACTGCAGAGCAGCTTCTGTGCACAACGCGGCGAGATCTGCACCAACAAAACCATGTGTTTCGTGCGCGATTTTCTCTAGATTCACCTGCATTCGTGGAACAAATAATCACACGGGCTTCTATCAGAATGTAGTGCTGGGAAGGTTGCAGTGTTTGGCATATCCTATCCAAAAATTCACTTGTAGATAGAACCTCGCTATCAGGAAAGTGAGTTGTTTCTAACAGGGTTTATAGAAACAACTGCGTGAGTTTCTTTTCACAACTCGAGACATAATATGACCACAGATGAACGCATCTGGGGTCACAAATAACACTCCAGCAACCAATAATCACCAAAGGGTGGAGATACTTGGACAAGGATGACCATCAAACGGAAAATATTTTACTTTAAAACTCTCTCTATCTCTGTAAATATACACACACACTCTTACTCGAATCGATAGATGAGAAGCACACTTACATCTTCTGCGAGTTTCATATTTTTGGTGTGGATACTAATAACCTCAAGTCTGCCAACCTCATCTGGAACTCCGATATCAATTTCCCGGTCAAACCGCCCGAATCGCCGCAAGGCTGGATCAATGCTATTCGGTCGGTTAGTAGCGCCCATAACGATCACATGCGCCCTAGACTTCAAACCGTCCATCAATGTGAGTAACTGAGACACAATACGCCTCTCTACCTCTCCTTGTGTTTTCTCTCTTTTGGGTGCGATGGAGTCAATCTCATCGATAAAAATGATTGAAGGGGCATTCTTCTCAGCCTCTTCAAACGCTTTTCTAAGATTACTCTCACTTTCACCGGCCAGCTTGGACATAATCTCAGGGCCGTTGATCAGAAAAAAAAATGCTCCTGTTTCATTTGCGACAGCTCTTGCAATCAGAGTCTTTCCAGATCCTGGAGGCCCATAAAGCAAGATACCCTTTGGTGGTTTAACACCAATCGATTTAAAGAGCTGAGGATGCCTGAGGGGAAGCTCAACGAGTTCACGAATCTGGGCCATCTGCCTTCTGACTCCACCTACATCATCGTAGCCTACCTCATTCAACCTTTCCTCATCCTCTCGTCTGATGGGCTCTCCTTCACAGAAAATTTCTGTATCAGGTGCCACTATGCAGTACTCCGTGGGATCAGTCTCCACCACCTTAAATTCAATACTCCTCATACCTCCTCGCACAAGAAAGAGATCGTTCTTCCGAACTGGTCTATAAGCCTCAGAGAAATAAGCTGCAAACAAGTAGGGGAACGTGACACGCGATGAATTAAGATGCTGAAGATAGCTGTAGCATGCTTAAGATTACTTCTGAAAAATAGAGTTGAGTACACTTTTTATGAAAATTGAGACAACTTGAAACTCACAGGGCGTCGTTGTTGCAATCATAGACGAGCAGAGCTTTTAAACAGGGTACTCACGTTTCAAATAAGCATCGAAGATGTTACCCGTGACTCCCTCAACTGAATCATCCATAGGTAGTACATGGATGCGTTTTCCATACTTAACATCTGCACATTGATGTACTGACACTACATCTCCAAGCCTGACGCGAAGATTGGCTCGTACAACTTTGTTCATGCGAATCTTGGGCTGATCACATGTTTCATCTGCCAGAACTATGCACACAGTGTCTTTCCTCTTTTTGCCCTGCATATTTGTGTTGATTTCAATCCATATTAAGCATCTAAGGGCGGATTACAGGCAAGTAGCTTCTCAAATACGACGCGCCTACCCTTCCCATGATAGTTGAGCGTATAATCCTACTGATGTGCATTCAAACTCTTATGCTTAAGGCTCCCCCCATCTCAGTGAATCCAACCATTGATCTCTAAAACACAGATACTGCTGTCATCGTTCTACTTCACATCCTAGCAAATTCTTTAGACATAAACTCAAGAGTGCGAAGAATTTCCTAGAGAAACTCGAAGAAAGATTGAAGCAATATCTGCTTCGGGAAGGTGCTGTACATGTATACCTTGATAAGTATTGTATCACCTCGAAAGAACTGGAGTTTCTCCATGGTCTCCATGTTGAGGGACACTACAGAATTGTCATCGTTGACAGCCTCATCGACTATGAGGCGATTAAGAGCCTTCTTCCGCTCTAAAATAGCAGTGGAGAAATCTTTCTTCGCTGCTTTCCTGTAGAAGCATGACAACGTTAAAACCGAGAAACATCCACTTCCAATGATAGAGATTCCCGGTACACTATGTTGCCTCATCTCAATCCAAAATGGTGTTGTCATGGACGAAGCTATATATTAGTCTTCATATTCTGAGGCAGCAAATAAACCAGACGGGAAGTAGTGAGAACAAACTATATATTAAGACACAATTACTTTCCTATGCAATGAGATCAGACAACGGCGCTTGCATTCAGACGAATAGTACTGTAGTAATGAAAGAACCAAAACTCCACATTCTCGACTCGACAGCTCACTTGCTTTAAGAAATATATGCTATTGTCAGTTCTTTACGGACCTTTGTTGCTACCTCTATTCATTCTACATTGACTGGAGATGTGATGTTGTAGCTTGCAGCTGAAACTTCAACAGCAACAAGGATTTTATACAAAGGGCTGCTCGTTCAGCTCAGATTACAGAGAGGCAGGGTTTGAAACACTTCTGTACACCGAACTGTTTTTCTTGAGCTTTGGAATCGACTTTAACCCCAACAAAAAATTCCATTCACAAAAAGCTGTGTTGTGGCGTAGAGATGTGAAATGAAAAATCACGAGTAAAAGTCAAATTGCAGTGATAGAAAGTTGTGAATACTTACGGGTCTGATGATTCACCCTGAGCGACCATGTCTACTACCTCTTTAGCCACTTTGACGATTGCACAACAAATTCAACCCTGATGATTACTGCCACCTGAGCAATCGAGAAGAAACAGTAATCGTAAGTGCACTCAAATTGAGCACTATGCAGAGAAAAACGAGAAATTCAAAGTTTCCAAATAGCCAGCATCATACCGAGGTAAAAACTTAAAAATTCAAATATCTCAACGTTACGAAAACCTCAATTTCCATTGATACCCTAAGGTTGAGAAAAATCTTGACTAATTGCACCACACGGAACATACTCTCACAAGAAACTCCTTGCATTGCTTCTCCTTAAAAAAAGACCAAATGTATAATTCTTCATTACAGGGATATGCTAATTCATTGCGATCAGACCAAAAGTATATCCGTTACATAGAGCTGAAAGCCCCGCTCTCAGGAAATTATATAAGAGAAATTCGCTTTACAGAAGGAATTCGGACAGGCGAAGGAAACAGAACGACAAGCAATAAACCATGCCCACCGGAATGCTCCTCCCAGCCCAGTGTGCAGAGAAACAATCACATAAAGTGGGCTTGAATTGTACGCAACACAACGCATATGCGGCTTGGTACAAAAGAACTAAAGAGACTGTATCCACTTTGGGCTGTCTGCGATCATTTCAGAAAGTTGCAAATGTTCGATGTCTATGACTTCCCTACTTATATCACAAACCAAGTCTAGACCTAATAACCGTTACCACCACGACGAAAATTCACAATAAGGCAGAGGACGGCATGAACGCGCATCACCTGCATTTTCAAGGATCATGCATTTTTTTAATGACTGAGTCTTTTTAAAGTTCGTTTTACGCGTTCGGCAAGAGCACAAGCAAGTCCACTCGGATGGATTAGATTCAACATCTCGATTCCAGCTACGTAGAGATACCTAGATAGCGAGGAGCCTCCCAGTGGGAACAGAGCAGAGCAACGGGCTTGAAGTCGCGTTTCGACTCGAAGGTCGCGTTTCGAGAACCAGGCAAAATAAGGAACAAGAAGATCGATAAACATTCCCCTCCCTTCCCTTAACCTACGTTATACTGTTCTCCCGCTCCTGTCTCAATAAAGAATGCGTGCCGATCACTCGAAACCCGATGGTCTCAGGACACTTCGCTCGACTTGATGTCAAGAAGGTACAAGAAGATCCGAATATTGTGAGAAGTTCCTCGAGAAACCGATCATTCCTCAAAGGCGACACCACTTCACTCCACTTAACAACTCAACCACTCCACTCCATTCGACTGCACGAGCACATGCACATGCGTTCCAACCAACCAACCAACCAACAAACCAACCCCCAAAAAGAAAGAGATTGTCACCGGGGACAGACAACTGACAATCGGTCAGCGTAGCGCAGACAAATTACCAACATTCGTCAGCCAAGAATATTACCGAGCGGGTCAAAAGTTTCAGCAAGCTACTGTACCTCTTCTCACCGCGCCTCGTCGACTTCTTTCTCCGGATTTCTCCGAACAGTCAAAGATTGGGCTCGCTCGCCTGCGCAACCGATTCTTTGGACCGCCGACGATCCCTCGCAGACAAGAAGCCGAAGGAAGCAAATGCTGCGCGTGGAGAGCAGGAGAAACTAATAGTTCCGAGCACGACGACGACGACGACTGCATGGGCGGCAGACGCTGCAACCGCGAGCGAGCGAGCGACGGGGAGGGCCAAGGGCAGACACAGCGAAAGTTACAGAGTTCCCCGACGGAGCGAGCAACGAGAGCTGCGAGCGCTGCGTGGCGCCCTGGCCCGTCTTTTATGATACTTTGGGATCTTAATCTTTGTCGTGCCCTGCATGGTATGTCCGAAAGGCTCACGCCTGCCACGTGTGCATGCCCCACCTCCCCGTAGCATCCCGTAGGCTGTGCTTGTGTTCGTTAAGTTCGTTTCATAGAATCTCACAAAAGTCCCGTACTGGATTTTATCCATTACTAAATTCGGGTTCCTGGGCCATCCCATCTTTCTCTCTCTTACCCCATAAGTCTGATCTTTTTAAGCATATTTTATTAAAATCGGATTATTATTAATTATAATTACTATAATACTTACCATATAATATATTTGATCAAGATTTTATATCTTATTATATTTTGATCAATCCAACTATACATCATTTCAGATTTTCAAAAAATAAATATGATGAAATGGACTTTCATAAAATACTATCGATTTTTTACTATCAAATAATATAATTAAAAGGTGAAGATTATATTTGATTCGTAATACAACGCTTTGAAGATTATGTTCATTAACTACAAATTCTATATGGTAATTTGAAATTCAATTTGATCACAAATATATAGTTTAATTATCTTTTATTGAATAGTCAATTGATTTGTTCAAATTTCTTACATAAACTTATATTTAAAGATATACAAAGATTTAATATTATAAATTAAATGAATAGAAACTAAAATATTAGTGAAAAGATTTAAGACATGTAATAATCTTATATATTTACTCCATATAAATTTCAAATGTATAAGTTTCTAAAAGATGTGGATAAAGAATTTTCTCACAAGGAGTGATGAGTATATATGGTCATGCAACTTCCATCGCTGACATGCCATTATAACACGCACACATATAGGGAGCAAGAGCGTACAAATACACAAATGTATCACAACTAAAAATACCAATAGAAACTTCAGTGGCTTTAGACACAAAACTTACATAAAAGTTGAACCGAGTCCACTCCACAACTTGGAGAATTCACTCCGTCTGGGGAGTACGGTTGCAAGGCTAAAATTGTGCGCCATTTCACGATATATTAGGCCTGCGCTTCCACATCAAAATGATCAGGCAACAGGCGCCGTGCGAGTTGCAAATCACGCTAAGCTCACATGACGCTATAGCTTGTCCACTGAAAGCTATTTTCCATGCAAAATGCTCAACTCAAAAAACTAAAGGTTCTTTTAGTCTCCACGCGATTATATTCCAACAAGAATGAACTCTAACTTTGACTCTACCTAATGTTGACTCAACTAGAGTTAACTCTAATCCAATATTGATTATACACAATACATATGGATATGATAGTTTTTGTGTGAATATGTATCATCATACAATCTACATAGCTGACATGCCATACTCACACATACACATGTATATGAAACAAGAGCGTACACATACATAAATGTATCACAATTTGATTCTCTAGCTTGCGGTTAGATCCCTCAAACTTCCAGATAGCATTATACATCTACATCATCACATACACCTCCATGGATGCAAAGATCAATAGGCTAGTTGAAAAGAAAGCTCCATCGTTAGTTGCCTATTTGTAATCCATGTCTCGTGTAGATCAAATGATCTATCAGTCGAAGTACATCAAGTACAAATCCATCATCCAATAGGAACAACATCAATAGGCGGATGTAAGCACGACATGTGCCAACCATAAAAACATTTATCATATAATAACATACAACTGGCGTCATTAGCGAAATCACACAACATACATATCAGGTCTGTCCGTATCACAACTATGCTTGGAGCCATTGTAACATAAATGTTTGGAAGCTAGCATGATGCGCAATTGCGTATATGATACTTCCACACAACTTCATCACGACCCTGCAACATCAAAACTCCAAAGTTTAGCACTCCCACATTTGTAAGATAATGCAACCTACCGTTACATTCAATGTTGTCGGCGCATTCTATCGCAAATAGAGATAATTGCCCACATGAAACCTACAAATTGATGATCGATAGTCGCCTTCCTAAATGATAGTATACTTTAAGGTATTTCGCTTTTGTGTAATGATAAGGTTCTCAAACATCGCTGACATCATTCTTTTAAACAACTCAACTTAATGAAAACACATAGTCCTTTACATCTCTTGATCATCAAGGTTGATCACCTGACTAGCTACTCGACGAATGAATGCATGCAATTTTGGATCATTAGAGGAAATGGATCATGGACCATGGATCTCTATAAGAGGAAATACGATGAGAAGGAAGCCAAGGATGCTTGATGATTGAATCTATACATCATAAGAGGTTAACATCCCAATCTTCAAGGTGTCACTTCAGTAAGCCATATTTGCGCAATGTCTTTTTCACCGTCTGCTCAATACACTCTGCCAAACCATGCACCTTTAGATGATCTTGAGATGTGATACCATGATTAATCAATGTATTGTCACATAAAACATCAAACTCATCCTGAAACTCCTTACTTTGATCCGTCAACATCTTGGCTGGTGCATCAAAATGACTAAGTACTCTGTGGGACCGTTAAATAAAACGGTTCCACAAAGTCTACACTCCAATCATAATCCAACTCCATAATAGGCAAACAATGTAACTGCGGTGTAGACGCATAAAAAGATGTTTTCATTCTATCTCACATCACACAACGTGAGATCAAACGTTGCATCTAACTATGCATACCAAGCCATTAATATTGGCCAAGGGATAAGCCATAGGTTCGCTTCACTTCAAAATGTCCCAACTCTTGATGCACATGACATACAATACAAGTTCTATGGAAGGGTGAAGCACTATTTGTACTTTATCATCTAGTATCACACGAAGTACACATGATCCTTCTTATCGATATCTCTTAGTTCTCTAGATACTCCGATCTTGCTTCTTGTCAATCACTATGACTAATATACTACTGCTTCATAAAAACTCCATAATTAATGCATCATGATAAATACCCTGCCAATTCACAATCCCATCATACTCCTTAAGATCTGTAGTCTGCTAAGGGGCTTCCTCACTAAAGCATGTCGCTCCATGATACTCCAAGCTAGAGTTAATATCCAACCAACATGAGTAGGCATAAGCATGGCAACCTAACATCATCTCCTCATCAACATTTCTTTGCCAACTAACTTCAATGTCATCTTACTCTCTAGTGCATGATATTTTACTTAATCTTTCGGCATCAAGGTTAACAACTCTCGATCTATGCATAAGCTTAAAGTCAAACTAACATATAATAATACTAATATATATAATACCTTACATAATATGAGAGCTCATCCTGCAAGCTTGCCGGAAAGCTTGTCAGATTCCATCAACCACTTAAGTAGCTAATGACGAGTAACAAAAGCAAACTCTATGCGTAAAAAATGTGCCACAACCCATACCACTGACAAACACTTTTTTTTGTATGAAATATATTTGAAATCCGTTACGTTGTTTGAACATTCGCATACGCAACAACAAACTCTTGATTCTTTTTATCATGTTGTGTTAACATCACTTCAAATTTGAACATACTTCAATCAGTATGCAACTATATTTGAAATTTGTTACGGTGTTTGAACACTCGCATACGCAACAACAAACTCTTGATTCTCATCATCATCTTGTGTCAACACCACTTCAAATCCCAATATACTTCAATCAGTATGCAACTGGAAAGGTTTACGGTTTAGGGTTTAGGATTAATGTAGCATTTGACAATATCTAATCTCGCTAAGATCCTGGTCATCATTCGTTGAAATTTTACAGGTGCATTTTTCAACATAAAAAGTAAGAGCTTTCATGGATACAAATAATCTTTGACATCCCAAAATGCTATCGTAAACTTATCCACATCTTGGATTAGCAATTGGTTGCAACCTTTCTGTAGATCCAAAGTACTGAAGAACTTTGCTTGCTCAACTACATGAAAGATCTTTTCGGATGTAGACATGACATATTGATCAAACTTAGTAATCCAATTGATAGGGCGATAATCTCCACACATCCGCGGCTGTCTATATTTGCCATGTACATCTTTTTTTATTGACATGACTGTGGTTGATGCATACTCTCCATGCGATAGCTCCAACAATTCGGTCTCCAAGAGATTCATCATTCTACCTCAAATCAGGTACCTCTCCATATCAATGTACTTGTATGTACAACAAAAGATTAGTGTATCATCATCCACATCAATCCACACACCATGACCAATCAAAGCACCCAATTTCTTCAAACTTAGCGCAAAACAATTCTTATACTTACTTAGGTTTTGTGTCAACCGTCATCTCTCTCTTCTTGTGATCTTAGGACCAATCAATGGCGCCCATTCCTTTTCCATATGCACACTAGAAGGAGACGATACTCTCATTATTGATTGTTATGCCACATACTCCATACATATAATACATCTTTCTATACATTTCAAACTCACAATCCAAGTCAAACATTTCAACTCCATGATCTGACCCAAAAGCTGACGACGTGACGTCTCTGAAACTGAAGAAGCTGTAGTCGAACCAATCATAAAACCTATTGCAGGCTCTTTTCCATCAACGTTGGACTTCACCAACTAATACACTGTAGAATTCCATACAAGAACAAGTGCATTATCATGATAGTGATGTGATGCGGAAAAACTAACCAACGTGGATAAAACCATCCAAGGCTGACTTACGCGATCCATCAATGTCGTAGATGAAGTGTTAACAACTCTCATCACTTGAGAACGTCACAAAATATCCAATATACTGTCCACGGTGAGTGTGTGATCATACTGCACGGAATCATAAGACCGCCATAATATCTCTCGTGGCAAAAAACTTGTCCACCATAATTGTGAACAATGAGTTCGTGATCCAATTCTCGCAACGTCCAATAATACAATCAATCCAATCCATGATCAAAACTAATGATCATTCGCCATCAATTGGGTTTGAATGTCATCAAACAACGATACATTTTCTAGTATGTATGCTCGAGTACGTGCTTGATGCAGCTGAAAATGACGTAACACTCGTAACATCACTCAAAAC